TGTGCCAAAACTACTGCAAAGCTTCTGTCTTCTAATGTGACATTTTCACTGTTTCATATCGCTGTTAGCCAAACCCAGGCTTGTTCGCTGAACTATAATTGTTTGATTTTCGTAGAAAATCCCATATTTTTGTGCCGACATGCTTAGAAGTTAGAACCAGTGCTTATCAGTGTTTATAATAATATATCCATAAACTCACATACTGTTCGTATGTGATCGTTTGCTCGAGGTAATTAATTTTGTGAAAATTTCCAATAATCGCTATTTCTGGAAATTTGGGTGCGTTTTCCGTGTGCTTAAACAAAAGCCTGATTTGTAAAACATCACGTGCATTAATTGCGGAACAAGCGATCAGCTGGGCTGAATATTCCGCATATATGTTGATCACCCGGTCCCGGATGCTAGACATAAAGGCGCTAATAAATAACGGCTGTCATACCCTGTGTAAAAGTAAGCCGCCCCTTGATAATATGTCTAATGTTACCACCTAGTCCCCCATTCATTGTGCGTTTGTTCCTGACTATATCTCTCTGGATAAGCAACGGTCTTAAATAGATTTAATAGTTATTTAATTAGTTAATAGTTATTTAATGTCATAGTGCCGTTTTGTAATTAGGTAGCAATTGAAAATTGTACAATTAAATTGTCCCATTTAATGCTGGATTAAATATTGACATTGCATATTGCTGACACATCATATTATCTACCGTTGTAGCCAATTCCAAACGAAAAAACTTCTCAATATTAAATGTTGTCCAAATTGTTAATTGCTCTGTTCGTCAATTGTCACCCTACTTTGCCCACCAAATTGCGTGATGTAACACTCATAACCACATCATTTTTGAACTTCTGTTTATCGCTATAAGACGAACATGTTACTTTGTCGGCTATAATTAAATATGAACTTTGCTAATGAACATTTTGGGGATCTTCAGATAGTAACGATTGGAACAGTTCGAACGAGTTGCCGTTATTCTATTTTGTTGAAATGAACAGTCCATATTAAGTACCATACATAATATTCTTGTCTCCATTGAAGACGAAATTTAAATTTCTAGTCTTAATGAAATTTAAAACAGTTGTCATTTCCTTAAACATATCGCTTACGTTAACTAAAGATCTCCTGTAAAAGACCTAGAAATTAAGGTTGAAATGATGAGGAAAATCCCCGGTTTAGCGGAGTGACAATGAGGACACCAACTAAGTACTAGTGAGCGTGTGACAGTGTGAGTGTGTGACTGTGTGAGTGTGTGTGAGAAGTGAGATGTGTGATACCTGACAATATGCCTATTATCAAACTGCTGTCTACTTGCTGTTCTGCTATTTGGTGAGTCAAGATTATTTAAACCCCCAACCTCCCCCCTCCCCAACTTCCCCTTCACCCCCATTTTTGCATGTCTATTGTATTTTTCTGTCTACAAAGAAATATCCAGCTTATTCTTGCTTGAAAAAACCATCCACTGATCAGCTGTTACCTACGATCCGATATATCTAATTGGAAATGCCATCGCGCGTTCCTCGACCCCATACAGTAGAAATACACGGCCCGTTCTTTGTAAAATTTCAATCATATCAATAGTCATATCCAATCTATAGTGTCGAGAATATAATCTTCTGTACATCTATATAAGGAGAGAGAAGTTCTCTGCTATATTACCATTCCCGACAAGTTCAGTATATCAGACCACCTCGTCACCTCGACACCCTTCAACCGTTTACCAGCTAGAAAATACTCCAGTAAACATCAACCTTGTGAATTAGACGACATTCTCACTCCCATACCATATTCGCTACAGCTTTTTATGTGTCCAACCAGTCTTATCTTGGTTGATCGCTATAATATCGCTATAATGTAGCGGCGTTTTATTATCAGTTCAACGTATGAGCGATAAGGTAAATATCACTGACACTTCCACTCCTCCGTACAAGTCACCAGATCAGACACACCTGCTCTAATGCTGATTAACAAGTTACCACTGCTGGGTTGCAAATCATAGTTAAAGGAAATAGTGATAGTCACCACCTCACCACCGATAGTAATATAACTTTGTGATCCTTGTTACACGAGGTACAATTGAAGGGGGGTCCTGATTTTCTGTCTATTTTTGTCCACAATGAACGTGATCCCCCCGTTTAATTTTGATAAATTTCACTGGAGATTGTCACGGCGTGCTGACAGTATCTCCTACTCCGTAATTATCTGTTATAATCACTAACTTGATCGTGTATAATCGTTAAATAACGCTCATTTCCATGGTTGTAACTCGTTATTTTTACTATATAATTTATTTTTCTATGATCTCATAATTCCACTGATTGGCTTCCTCAAGACGTACGTGCCAAATACCTCAACATACCTTAACATACCTTAAAATACCTTAAATCACCACCCTCTGTTTTCACCTGTCTATAAAATAAATTGTCCTGTAATTTGACCTGAAATACCGTAGGAGTAGTGTTAAAATACACCCCGGCAAAAAGAAGGATACTATTTGTAATACCTTCTGACGGATGTTGGTGTTAAATTTCTCTTTTATTAGACCACCCCCATTACTATAATACTGAGTATAAATCACAATATTATATCACCTTGCGCCTCTGTTTTCAGTACAATCTCCTCCTCCTCCTTCAGTACAATCTCCTCCTCAATATTCAGTACAATCTCTCCCTCCTAACCAGTAACCACTAACCAGTGTTATTCGATATTATGTCATGTGTTTATTTTTATATTCACGCAGCACCTGCTCAAATCAACTTAAATCTTTTTTAAATGTTACGGTGTTTACTTTATCTCATATTTTAGAGTTTACCGCACGCCACGGCTTATCGTCTCTTCTTGTAATCGTTCTTGGCACCCCTTAGTCACCCCTTTTATCATCAGCATATTCTTGGTGAATACTAAATGTAGACTTATCAACACCCGGCTGTTGATTGCTGTGCTGACCTAAGTTCTTTTATTCCTACAAGTCATATTTCACATTACGTTATTCAAATATCCAAGTTGAACATAAGTTTAACATTATAAACTCTAAAGTTGGACTACGCCGTCCTAAGCCGTCCATTTGCGATCGGTCGTAATTTATTTTGTGAACCTTTATAACTTACCATTGTAATCCGTCTTATTGTTCAGTTTTTCTCATAGCTTTTGTGACAGATGTCACATCGTTTTGTGACATTGTGTTTTGTGACCAATGTCACATCGTTTGTGAAGTGTCTAATAGTCACGTTCGTTTTGAGCTCAATAATAAATAAGACACATTCTAATCAAGCTAAGCGTCAGCCTATAAGATTAGACATAATTTGTGAACTATCAGATCCTATTTTCTTAATAAATTATAAGAGTCCCTACATAGAATAAACTGGGGCATGTTGACAACTTGACAAGTACCACTCAACTAGTCGACACTTGCAGCCGCCTGGTGATTTGCTTATAATTGTATTTCTCGGGTTAAACCCATGTTCAGTTGCCAAAATTGGATTTGCTGATGTTTAGTAGGGCTGACAGTGTTATTTTGAGATGGACAACAATTTGTGATCATTCAACTAGCCTTATACCAGTTACAATACCAGCTACCATGCCACCTACCGTACCAGCTACTTAAGCAGCTACCATGCCAGCTACTTAACTAGCTACCATACCAGCTACTATTCCAAGTTGTGTTTGTTCATTTTGAGTCACGTGGTAGTTGAGTTCAAGTCACGTGCAATGTTTCCGACCCTGACAATGGCGCTCACAATTCCCGTCACCCAGCTCCCCCAGAAGACATGAACTGCGCTACACTGCGAGACTGTCAATGTCCCTGCATGACAGGCTCTCAAAGGGGGGACCTGCTCCCTGACCTCTAGTGCTTGCAACAATTACACTTGTATAATATTATATATATAATGTAATATAATATAACCAAACGTAGTCACGTTAAATGCCGCGTTAACCGTTCATCTGACATCCTTCATGTTTCTGAATCTTACTCAGACTTTAAAGTATTCTGACGGAGCATGAATAATTGTTTCAAGTTAAATCAATGGTCTCGTTTTAGCGTTTCCTGCATTCTCAAGCAATTTGACTCGATTTGATTGTGTCTCTCTTCACCTGACATCATGTTTAAATAGCATATATTTTCTTGTTTAAATAACGTATATTTTCTTGTTTCAATAGCATATATTTTCTTGTTTCAGTAGCGTATATTTTCTTGTTTAATACTACGTTCAATGGTTCTTTATTTTGCTTGGGTTGGGTGCGGTTCCTGGCAGCTGGTAACATCAATAATAACAGCTTGTACCGCATTTTAATGATAAAAATGACGACAATACAATTTTAGTGAAATGGCGGATTAACTGTCCAGCCAAATATTTGTAATTAGAAGCTAAGTGTGTTACCAATTATCCAATCATTTCCGCTAATTAGCAATCAATTGTCCTAATTATTAATCAGCTGCATTGCACGCGTATACAGGTGCACGAGCCACTAGGCTCCAAGTTTATCACAAAGTTCCTATTAAGCTCCCGTAAATATTACTGGGTAGATTATCTCCGGTGTATTTTATACACTATACCACGTCACTACAACACACTTCCTCTCAGTAGAAATACTGTTATTCTAGCGGTAATCACGTCCGCCAAGTAGTCAGTTGGGCACGTTTGTTGTTACTGGTGGTAGATGTGTAGGTTGCAATTTAGTAATTACAAAATTAACCCTGCTTTGTTGCTTAAATCATATTTCAAGATTTTGTTTTCTCCGTATTTCTGCTTTTTTTTGTTTGTTAGAAAACCGTATTCCGGTGCTTTCTGATGTGCGATTAGCTTGTCCGATGTTTAAATAGTTTAAATGATCCAGTATTAGATTGATTGATGTGCACTGTGTCTTAAATAAAAACCTTCATTTATAAATTTTGCGAGACTCTTTTCATTTATTCAGTATTTATCAGCTAATTACAAGTTAGAATTTTCAGAATTGTAAATATTTCACTAATTAAAGAAACATGTGCAAATTAATACTCCCTAGTAGCCGCCCCGCACACACAGAAGATGGCACCCACTTTACCCAGATAATATCTCGATCTCACTTGTACAAGGAAATGTCTTACATCCTCCTCCTAACCTGATATAACATCGTCTACTCAAAGTTTAATCTCTACACCGGCCAAACTATTCAAATAACTATCTGGCAGCAGAAGAACATTCCTAGAAACCATTAAAAGGACTACAGAAAATTCCAGAATAACCACGGAAGGTTTTAAAAGAGCTACAGAAGGTTCCAGAACAGTTCCAGGTGCCGATGCTGATAGAAAGACGGTGTTTCTCACTGAATGACATTACCCTGTACGATGTAGACAGTTTGTTCGGTACTGACTCTGAGAGCTACTTGTATGATACGGAGGAGCAGCTGGACTGTATCCCTGTGGAGCCTGTTGGATATTATCATCTAGATATTGACGGGTACTGCGAGATATATAATATATTTCTTGTTTTCTTGTAACACGTTGCCAAGCACTACAGAATTTACACCTTAATGCTAGCTCTAATCCAACTAGTCTGTCCGAGTTCCAACACTATGACCCCGATTCTGACATATCTAAACCACAATAACCCAAGGTCTTGTTACTAAACTATAGCCCTAACACGACCAAAAAAACATGGAGCACAAATTAAATTGTATATTGTGTCAGAATACTAGCTACCCTCTTCACCACCATACTTCAAAAATTTTGGTGGATAATTATGTTTGAGAAAACTAACTTTACTCATTTCCATATTATATCAGTCTTATCAATACATAATAAATTCGATAATTCACCATAACTTGTACGCCCTTATAACTAATAAAAAGAATCCAGGAAATTCATATTAAAGGGTTGTCAAACTCTGATTAATAATGATATTATTATATAAATAATAATATTAAAGGGAAAATGTTGCAGTTAACTACTCGTCAACTCTTAATGAATTTATTCTGTAGAGTATTTATAAAAACGTATTACGTTACCTTGTCAGTGTTATTAATTAATTGGCTAAATAAATAATTACAGGGAGGAGTTTGAAGAGGATGATAGCGAGGTGGAGGATTCAGAGGAGGAGCAGGAGGACACGGAGGACTACAAAAAGGGTAATTAAATATTGATTATATAGGTATTAATATATTATATCAATTGTTATTAATATACATACAAATTGAATTATATAAATCTGGTTATGTGGAACTGAGATAAATTATTCACGTTTAAATTTGTTTCATCTTGTTTGTAATTTGTATTCCCGTGTTAAACTAAATTTAATTGCTCCCAGGGGGTTACCATCCTGTCAAGATATCAGATGTTTACAACAACAGATATGTGGTCCTGAGAAAGCTGGGATGGGGCCACTTTTCCACCGTGTGGCTCGCCAGGGACAGTAGGTTAGTTTGCTGGTAGATTAGTCAGCTGACGACGATTAACACATGTTTATTGAAAGCTTCTACAAGTTAAGCTATCGTATCACTTATATGTTTTTAACCCAACTCCATTCAGTTTCTGGTAGATTAGTAATGCTGTAGCACTAGTATAGATAAGTTCAACTAGTCTATATTAGTTCAACTAGTCTATAGTATTTCAACAGAGACCTGTGTTACTTGTCGGGCCTCGTTAGCTTGGACCTTAATGCAGATGAACCTTAATTGCTCATTATAAGGACAATTACGACGAAGGAGCATAATTAACGGTGTACACTCCTGATTAGAGATGGTAATTAGGGTCGGTCATTTGTGATATTCTGAGAGTAAGCTTGAGAATGTTTGAAGGAATAATATGGACTTTGCAATGGATTGAAATGTCTTTTTATCTTATCCCACTATTGTTCAGAACGAAAGCGTATACAGCCGTTAAAGTTGTGAAGAGTGCGTCACAGTACACAGAAACAGCTATTGATGAGATCAAGTTGTTGACCAAGGTAAACAATGTACTAACTGTGATCCCTACTGCTACAATATACTTATATTTGGTCATGGTACTTCAAGTATATTTTACTACTTGTCATCAGCTTCAATCAAGTACACTAGCCTCAGTGCACACTGCACAGTACCTCACATGATAACACCAGGTGAGAGAAGGAGACCACGCCCATGTGGGTAGAAGTCACGTGGTACAGATGATAGACGATCACAAAATAGTCGGTATCCATGGTACCCATATCAGCATGGTATTCGAGGTGAGTTGGATTGGTATGGTGTTGAGACTGTAAAATATCGACTGTGAATCAGTAAACTACACTGTTGCTATCACAGGGCATGGTGTAGCAGTGTATCTGTATGTGTTATAATGATCATCGCAAAATATGGTTGACGCCTTACTTTGATGCCAATGTCAATTATCTAATAGTAAAATCCACATCATCAATATAATCACAATCTAGTTATAAATAACTTTGAGAAGACAACCCTGTGACAATTTGTTCCGACAGGTTCTCGGAGACAACCTGCTGAAGCTGATAATTAGAAGTAACTATCGGGGGATGAATGAGGCTCTGGTGAAGCGCATCACTAAACAGGTTACTAAGTTACTAAACAGGTTACTAAGTTACTAAACAGGTTACTAAGTTACTAAACAGGTTGCATAGTTACTAAACAGGTCACTAAGTTACTAAACAGGTTGCATAGTTACTAAACAGGTTACTAAGTTACTAAACAGTCACCAAGTTACTTAACAGGCTAGGTTACCAAGTTACTAAACAGGTTACTAAGTTACTTAAAAGGTTACTAAGTTGCTAAACAGGTTACTAAGTTACTTAAAAGGTTACTAAGTTACTAAACAGGTTAATCAGTTACTAAACAGGTTACCAAGTTACTTAAAAGGTTACTAAGTTGCTAAACAGGTTACCAAGTTACTTAGCAGGTTACTAAGTTACTTAAAAGGTTACTAAGTTACTAAACAGGTTACTCAGTTACTAAACAGGTTACTAAGTTACTTAAAAGGTTACTAAGTTACTTAAAGGTTACTAAGTTACTAAACAGGTTACTCAGTTACTAAACAGGTTACTAAGTTACTTAAAAGGTTACTAAGTTACTTAAAGGTTACTAAGTTACTTCAACACCCTCAACAACCATGAATTGCTCTAGTTTTAGGCGTCAGTTTAACCACCAATAAAAACAAACAAACAAGCTAACTTAGGCAGTTTTTTTAGTTTTTTAGTTTTTTTTTTTTATTTTAACGAAACATTCCCAGGTACTGATGGGACTTGACTACCTGCACACAGTATGTGGTATAATACACACGGACATAAAGCCTGAGAACGTGATGTTAACTGTTAGCGAGAGTACAGTAAAACAGTGGGCTGCTGCTGGAGCACAGGACGATCCTAAATTCAAAGCTAATCTTCCTAAGAATCTTAGAGAGCGAAAACAAGGTAAGAGCTGCCAGATCAGATAGTTGTTTTTAATCAAGGTCTGTGACACCTGTGAATGACTGATCTTAAGACTTAACACGAAATCTATTCAGACATTTTTTTGCTGGTGAAACCTTTTTTTGTCTATTATCTAGATACAAGAACCTTCATTTACAAATATTGCAGCACCAGTTAAAGTAGAGGGGCTCCAAAAAGAGGGAGTCAAACTAACCAAGAATCAGAAGAAAAAGTTAAAGAAGAAATTAAAGAAAGCAAACGCGGTAAGAGTAAAACTATTGATCTTAATTAGTTATAAAGTTTATAAATGTCATTGAAGCTGCTGTTATTAACACTGATCTTTACAAAAATGTGAACCAATACATTCCACCAGTCGGGAGGAGGAGAGAAGAACGGAAGAGCAGAGAGTATAACATCAGATATGTCTACAGAAGATAACAAGCTTATCAATGTCAGTAGTCCTGACAACGAGAAAAATATGGTAATTCAGCTAACTTCTTATCGTTATTTGTTTCAGTTCTACCTTCTGCCCAAATATTTCTGTCGGAACATTTTCTCTAATTTCACTGAGTGGTACCAAATCAGTATTATTCTATTTTAATTTCACCTTCAGAACGAGGTCCACAACGACAATTGTAACGGCACAGTTCCACTCGACATGACGACAGAGGATCAGAACGATAAAGAAATGAAGACAGAAGATCAAAACGAGAAGAATATGAAGACAGAAAATCAGAATATTCCAGAAGATGAGAATAATCCGGATGACCAGAATATTCCAGAAGAAACAGCAATCCAGGAGAACAACACAAAACTGGAAGATGATAACTGTACAGAACAGCAGGAGGAAGAAGATCACGCCGCTCTGTACAATGACGTCATAGCAGAGGACAATATGACGTCACAGACTGATAACATGACGTCACAACCTGATGATAACTCCAATGGTAACACAGAAGAAACTGCTGATACTGATAATATGGAGAACGATGAGAACAAGGAGCCTAATGAGAAGGAGACTGATGAACAGGAGGAGTCTCAGGATCAGGTAAGCATTCACGGATCCTTTTAAATTTCAAACTGGGTTGACCAAGCCTCATGCCTTGAGAAAAGTTTAGTGTGCAGACAACATACAAATTTGTGCAAATATATGATTCATCATCAGTTTTTTAACCAAATATTTTGATATGCAGTTAGAATTGCTGTTGTGCTGGCAAGCGGATTTTTATCTTTCAAAATAGACGTGTTGCTGTTAAAGCAGTTTGGCTCATGTTGCGGTATAACCCTAGGTAATGAAACAGAATGAGGAGAACAAAGCCCCGAATGAGAAGGAGACTGCTGTTAAGGAGAACAAGGAGGAAGAGGAGGAGGATAACTCAAACGAGAAGACGGAAACTAAATCAGAGCTTCCTGAAAACGGCTGTATAGGTTTATTTAACTACACGATTTATGGTGTAATAAACTAACAACATTCTCCACAGTTTATACTAGCTGGGGTCCTCAAAGTGTGATATATGACCCTCGTCAGGTTATATCATGTACTAATCACCTCCTGGTTAACTGTTAAAACTTCCTCGAAATAGGAGTGTCGAGTAATGAACGTTGTTGACACCATGTTTAACACCTTCTATAACACCTTGCTGCTTCAGATGATATAAACGTAAAGATAGCAGATCTTGGTAATGCTTGCTGGATAGACCACCACTACTCTGAGGACATACAGACCAGACAATACAGATCAGTAGAGGTGCTCTTAGGTTTGTGCAATTAGTGCAATTATTGTTGACATTTCGGTTATTCGGGAAATTCAAGGAATTGAGCATTTAACTAGAAGGTTCGCTGGGTATCACAAGTCATAAGCAATGCAGCTCCTGATATTATAAATTCAAGACACCTTCAAGTTCCTTTTTGATTACCCTTTTTGATTACCCTTGTTTAAGGTTTTATGATTCACTGAACCCAATGTAACCATATTTATCATATTTTCGAATTTTAACGATATACCGAGGAAAAATAACATGATTAGATCTAAAGATTGAAACATTCTGTGAATCTAACATACATACACATTACACATAAAATTCAAAAAAGTCAAAATGTTCGTCAAAAGATTGCCAGGATAGAAGTATTATCTTCGATACAAAAAAATTAAATCAAAAAGAATGTAAAATGCTTACGTTTAATTAACACTTTATTTTCACAAAACTAACTAAATTAAAGCCAAAAGTAAATTATTTGCACCTCCTTTTTGCTAATACTACGATATATTTTATTGAAAATCTCAAATTGAGAATACACCCACTCTTTCAGCAAATAGCAATACATTTGTTGATAAAAACTGGACACGTTAAAATCAAAATCATATTTAACAGAAAAATATAATCGTCATTGTCACTAAAAATACCACAACCGTTCCAACAAGTGCACTAAACAATTTCGGGTAGGAATCTAGTAGAAGGTTTTCTGTCAGCGAAGATAAGTTTAGTGGACCCATCCCTCTTGACAGCAACAAACCACCCAGGACAACTCTGAGCCTCTAAAGAAAGAGACCTGTCCTGGGGGTTGAGATGAAGGAGGAAGAAAGTGTCGGGGTCTCTGTAAACGTTACTGCCAGTACACATGCTTCCTTTTACTGCCAGCCAGTTTCCTACTTCGTTCAGGAATGCGTACGTTCCTGGCCCCAACACGTGCACTTGGAATGTTGCCCATTTTCCGATTCCTCCCATTCCGTTCACCTGGTTCGCTGCGGTCAGTCGAAGGGTTTTGCTTGTCTTGGTACAGCGGAATCTTACTTTCTGGCCATGTGCCAGTCCTTGAGGTGGAGCTTGTCTGGCCGGAGCCGGGCCAGCTGGTGGGTACTGGGGAGCAACAGCGGGACGCCACCCTGGTGCAGATCCTGGGTATGAGGGAGGAATTTGAGAGGGAACATGAGGTTGAGGAGGATATTGAGGTTGAGGAGGGTATTGAGGTTGTGGCGGATATTGAGGTTGTTGCGGATATTGAGGTTGCGGAGGATATTGGGGAGGGCATTGAGGTGGTGGAGGGTATTGAGGTTGAGGATGACGATGACCCCGATGAGGTTGAGGACAAGGTTTAGGGTGGGAGGGTACAGCAGGAGGTACGATGACAATGTAGGAGAAGTCAGCAGTTTGATGCTCCTTACCACCCCAACTATACCAGGCAGATCTACCGTTACTCTTACCCGGTATCTTACCATGAGAGGTGTGGTGACACAACACAGAATACATGACCCCTGTGTTGGTCTGGTGCCCTCTGATCAGTCCTGGTTCAGGTGGGTGGGGAGACTTTTGTAGTCGTACTGTGTGACCTGGGTTACACTTCACGAAGTTGAAGTCATTAGCAACCATCTCCTTGTTTCCGAAGGAGTACCAGCCCTTGCCACACTGTCCTTTTCCGGGTATCCTGCCGTGTGGTGTGTTTGCTATGATGGGGTAGTAGGCACCTGATCCGTCATTTTGGTGTCCTACACTCAACTTTCTGTCCGGGGGATTCTGGCCGCTGCTCTTGATCTCAACGTACCACTTCATTCTTGTGTAAAGTTCTCGGGTTATGTTTCTGTACTTGTGGTCAACACCAAGTATTTGGTAAAAATGTTTTTGTTCAATTTTATTTTCTTAAACTTAGATGTAACAGAAAAATTCTGTCTGAACTACATCAAAGAAAAAATTAATATCGGGTGTCTATTCAACAGCCTAACTCGTCAAATTACGACTCAACTAGAACTAGAAGTGGACCGAAATTAAAAACATTTGACGTAAATGTTCTCAACTAAGATCATTAAATAATCCTGTGTTGCGAAACATAAAACGAACGTAGTTAACACACACGGGTCAACAGGTGTCAGTTACTGGGGTTAATGGCTTCGTGTCAGCCGTCATATACTGCATATATCTATTATTGTACAAACTGAACATTTGACCATATACAAATTGAGTATTTGATCTTGTGCATACTGTACATTTCACTATGTACTGACTACTGTGAGTACTGATGTTCAAACTGTGCGATGTACATTTGGTCTGGTGCAAACCTTTCAGTTGTCCTAGTACAATCTGTATATTTGATTTGTACAAACTATACATTTAACCTACTGCAAACTGTACATTTAACCTTGTACAATCTACATTTGACTATGTACAAACTACTTGACCTCTATAACGAAACGACAGCAAACAAAGAACGAACAACAAAGCTGACCTCACCTCATGTGTAATATAATGAGGGATGCGGCACATGACTAGCGTATCATATTACACGTGATAAATTATGCGTTCGCTGAGTGTAGATAGTTGTATGGTATTAAGACTGACTGTAAATGATCTCATGCAGGCGAGATGGAATGAATGTTACAATTTACATCGAATAAATAGAAGGAAGTGGTTCAAATGATTTACGTTCAATTTAAGACATTTTCTTGCAATCAGAGGCAACATTATATAGGTGCGGTGCACGGGTGCAGAAATTATACCGCTGTGAACTTGCCTAAAATTATGGTTAGGGTCAAACGTTTTTCATGATAAGACGTAATTAATTAATTAGCTAATTAATGTAACATCGGAAAGAAGAATTAAAACCAGGAAAAACACTCAAAAAGAGCAATTTCTTCTCAATAATATCTCTTAAAAGTTTATTATTCTTAATCTTATGATCAGATGGCAAGTTGATAATACAGCAACTTTCAATATTAACGATATTTGATAAATGCCAAAAGATAGTGAATAACTCGTCAACCTGGAACGTAATCCATCAACAGATTGAATTTGAGTCCTTTTACTTTTAGTCAGCATCAGATATGTATATTGTATAATGTATATTAAAGTTAGATAATTGATTGTAGCCACTAGTCATGTACACACGAAAAGTAAAAACGATGTATCTCGAGGCGACACGTTTGTGACGGTGATAATATCATAGTTTACAGGAATTTTAGCTTATACAGTATACACAAAATGTCAGTCGCACAATTTGCAAAATATTACCGCACCTACATATTACCTATCTGGAACTCTGGAAGGAAGTGCTGATGTACACGTAAATCGACAGAACCACTTCCTTCCAGATAGGTAATATGTAGATTGTAGGTGCGGTAATATTTTGTAAATTGTGCGACTCCGTGACATTGTTTGTATACTGTATAAGCTAAAACCACGGTTTGCGTGTACACATTTCCTTGCAATGTGCTCAGGGTAGACATGTGCCATTCATAATATTCAATATTTATAGTGTTAGACATAATTTATAAATCATGTTTGAATCATGCACAAAACGTATTGCTGAGTGGCTTCTAATTCTATTCTAGGACTCTAAATAAAAGTACTGTGACAAAATTGCTCAAAGTATGTTTCTTCAAATCATTAAAATGAATTTTGAGTTATCACAGATATATACATATTACATATGCGTGTCCTGCGGAGATTTCATATTATTATAATTATATATTTTTGAGTAAACATTGACTGGCACCACGGTCCAGTCCCCAATCAATCAATTAATCATTTATTTAAACGAGTAATATCCTAGATAAGACTATAAGAGACTACATACTAAATCTTGTCTCTGACTTCAGGGATCGGTTACAACACCTCAGCAGATATCTGGAGCATGGCGTGTATGGTATTTGAACTGGCATGTGGTGAATACCTGTTCGACCCTCACAGTGGTTCTAACTACAGCAGGGACGAAGGTGCGACCTCATTAATTTACTCAGAATTCAACTAAAACTGTCGAGTTATCGCCCATTCTTAAAGGAAACGCAGCTAATCTCTCCCACATTCGTAAATTCTAACTCGTTTCAGATCACCTAGCTCACATAATAGAGCTACTAGGACCAATACCTAAACACTTGGTAGAGAAAGGAAAATACAGTAAAGAGTTCTTTACAAAGAGAAACGAACTGAGGCACATAAAGGATCTTAGACCGTGGAGTTTGAAGAATGTGCTCATGGAGAAATACGACTGGGTGGAGGTAAGCAATATTAATCTTTAGAATAACCCTTCCGTCCGGGATTTCAGTTCTTTCATCCTTCTCAAATTGCTCGATATTTTGTAGGTTTTAACCTACCGACCCGCGCGCCGGGTATTTTCCGTAAGCTCAATATTCATCCGGAGCCCTGTGACATGGAGCTCTAGTTATTAGTTAGTTATCTCTTTAACTGAGCTGCCCCCAGGACGAAGCCGTGGTATTCGCAGACTTCCTCCAACCTATGTTGGATCTCAACCACGAGAAACGGATTTCTGCTGCCGAAGCTCTCAAACATCCTTGGTTAGACGGGGTATGATGGCACTATGTGCCTCTCTGAGAGAGCGTTTTCTTAATGTCAGATTATTTAGGGGAGGGGTTATGACGTCACTCATTACGTCATGTGACTGTTAACTCGCGTGTAAAAGCATGGCTCCTCGGACCAAAATGAATTTGATATTTTATTTATCTTTTAATGTTTTAATTTAAGATAAAATTTAAAAGTTTTGCCATAAAAGTGGAACCTTTAGTTTTTATTTGATATGCATTTTTAGATTTTGTGTACTTGGCTTAGTGGTTTAGTCCAGTTTTCATCATATTGGGCCTAAAAGTAAAAGTTTAACTTTAAGGGCGACGTGGCCATTTTTTCACATGAGAAAATTATTGTCAGACGGATTTTGACTCTTCGAAGGTGCGTGCAATAGTACAAATTAGTGTGCTGTGTTCACTTCGTATAAAATGTTTTTCATTTTTACCACCTCAGTGACCTCACAATCATATTCAAAGAGAGAGGGAGAGGGAGAGTGAGAGGGAGGGGGAGGTGGAGGGGGAGGGGGAGGGGGAGGGGGAAAGGCGAGGGAGAGGGAGAGGGAGAGGGAGAGGGAAAGGGAGAGGGAGAGGGAGAGGGAGAGGGAGAGGGAGAGGGAGAGGGAGAGGGAGAGGGAGAGGGAGAGGGAGAGGGAGAGGGAGAGGGAGAGGGAGAGGGAGAGGGAGAGGGAGAGGGAGAGGGAGAGGGAGAGGGAGAGGGAGAGGGAGAGGGAGAGGGAGAGGGAGAGGGAGAGGGAGAGGGAGAGGGAGAGGGAGATGGTTTGGAGGGAGTCACTTAATTTACTAATTTGTTGCAACACCATTTCTTAGTAACTGAAAAATTCGGTGTTATGCTGTTTCAATTGAAGGTTTCGCACGATTTCCAATTTTGTAGGAATTCAAAGATAGTTTCAACATTCAAGATTTCACGAGAAGATCAATTTGGACATTGTTGATTGTTTTGACAAGTTCAGATGTTGTGTAAAATCGTTACAGAACAGTTTTTATTACTCCATTAAATAATGGTTCTTTAATTTTGTCCCGTACTTCTGGTACTATGGAAAATGAGTAGAACTAGTACTACACACCGAAGAAAATAAAACAGAAAATGGAAAAGAAAGTTATAAAACATGAAAACCATAACAAATTTGGGCAGTATCCTTAACGGGTGATACTCGTAAAATATCTGTTCCGTCGACGAGTCCAACTCGCGCGCGCGTCCTGGTAGGTTGTAAACCTACAAGCAGTATCCAAGTAGCCCGACATGAGTTCCCGAACAGGCGTTTAGGGTTTACCTTAACCTTAACCCATAACCATAAGTATTACTATTATGGTTATTATTATTATTATTTACCTGGGGACTCCAGGCTATTATGTTCATAATAAAGATTCGGCGGAATGACAGGCTGAGCGCCGCCCAGTTATATTATTATATTGTAGGTTTACAACCTACCAGGACGCGCGCCGATTTGGACTCGTCGACGGTCCTGTCAATTAATGGAACAGATATTTTACGAGTATCACCCGTTAAATTATTATATAACTTGCTCTAACCAGAGCCGGCCCTCTCGCTTGCAGTAGCGCGCGACCGCCGAAGGCGGCAAAAGATTCTGTGAAACAAGCGCACGTCACGCAGTACGCGTAGACACATGGCTATATGAATTATATAACCATAAGTATAAGTATAACCAATAACCATAACCCTAATGCCTAACACACCTGTTCGGGAATTCACATGTCGGGCTACTTGGATACTGCCCAAATTTGCTAAACCAGTATGACTATGATCGCCTCATGTTGTATCACGTGGTGACCCCCACTGTCGCTTCACTATAGTACAGGGGGAGCCGCGCACTTCGTGCGCGGCGGGTCATACAACGTATGACAAGCCTCAATAGCCTCATGTACATTGTAACCCCAAACCCAGCCGCGTGCACTATTTATGCTATGATTTAGTAGCACTTACCTCGGGCTAATATTTCGAGAAGAAAGCGTCCTGCGCTAATTCTTCGAAGAAATTTATATTAGACGATTAACATCCGTCAATACTTTAGTACCTATACAGCTTGTTAGCCTATTATGCTATATATTGTAGCGCGATGCACTACTGGGTCGCGCCGCGCATCAAATAATTCTTCTCGCAAGGGATGATAATTAATCACTCTACACTCGACTGTCACGTGACGAAAACGCCGTGATTTCACTGGTTAACCTGATAACGCGCCGCAGATCTCTATAAACACAAATTATTCATCGCGCGTGCAGTAAACTCAAATTAAGTCCTAATTTGTTACCGAAATTTGGCAACTATCAACATCATGACACAATTAAGTCGCATGCCCAGTAAATTGCTAATCAAATGTACGGCACTAATAATACAGTCTACACTTACAGTGTATGAATTCATGAACAAATTTATTAAGGCAGATTGGTAGAACAACGATCGTAAATGATAATTTGCATTAACAGTGGAAAGTGTTCTTAAGGGAGACTGTTGTGCAGCCATGTCGGGAGTTATAAAACACCGAACACGACATGGACATTAAAAACACTTAACCACAAAACCAGCTCTGAGCACTATTTCTAGGTTATGAGACGGCTAAATGATGCGAATAATAAATCCTCAGAGCTCCCAGTACTCTACATTAAAAACACTTTCCAACTACAAAAATTAACCACTAAACCAGCTTTGAGCACCATTTCTAGGTTATGAGACGGCTAAATGATGCGAATAATAAATCCTCAGAGCTCCCAGTACTCTACATTAAAAACACTTTCCAACTACAAAACTTAACCACAAAACCAGCTCTGAGCACTATTTCTAGGTTATGAGACGGCTAAATGATGCCAATTATAAATCCTCAGAGCTCCCAGTACTCTACATTAAAAACACTTTCCAACTACAAAACTCAACCACAAAACCAGCTCTGAGCACTATTTCTAGGTTATGAGACGGCTAAATGATGCCAATTATAAATCCTCAGAGCTCCCAGTACTCTACATTAAAAACACTTTCCAACTACAAAACTTAACCACAAAACCAGCTCTGAGCACTATTTCTAGGTTATGAGACGGCTAAATGATGCCAATTATAAATCCTCAGATCTCCCAGTACTCTACATTTAAAACACTTTCCAACTACAAAACTTAACCACAAAACCAGCTCTGAGCACTATTTCTAGGTTATGAGACGGCTAAATGATGCGAATAATAAATCCTCAGAGCTCCCAGTACTCTACATTAAAAACACTTTCCAACTACAAAACTTAACCACAAAACCAGCTCTGAGCACTATTTCTAGGTTATGAGACGGCTAAATGATGCGAATAATAAATCCTCAGATCTCCCAGTACTCTACATTAAAAACACTTTCCAACTACAAAACTTAACCACAAAACCAGCTCTGAGCACTATTTCTAGGTTATGAGACGGCTAAATGATGCCAATTATAAATCCTCAGAGCTCCCAGTACTCTACTAATACTAATACTTTCAACACTACTATATAACAAATAATTTGAGGTATGACCAAAGTAATACGAATGTAATACGAATGTAACGTTAATGGAATGGAACAAATCTCACATGTGAACTCTTCAATTTGCTTCAATTCAAATCAACAACTTAATTCAAATCATCAACTCAATATCATGGACGATTCAATGGAAACATTTTTTGGAAAACTATTGTCGGAATGTGATCAAAAATGCAAAAACTGTACTGCACTCAAATCTCATGTCAAGTTTCTCGAGCGGAAAGTGATCATCCTAGAAGACATTGTTCAAACTTCTCAGACTATAGCAGAGATTAATGGTACGTTGTTACATCAAAGTACCAATCAGTCAATAGATTATCGGGCTGTCCTGGATAGGTGTTCAGATGTTGCAGTTCAGACAGAATTTGAAAACGATCAGATTGAATATGACAGTGAATGTGAGGTGCCTGAATCTTTCATGCTAATCAATAGTGATGGCATCATTGAAACACCAGATTCTATCATTTCCAACAACACAGAAAATCAAATCAGTGGGAGTACAGGATCTGTCAATCCATGGAGTGGCAAGTATTATGCTGAAATAGATGTAACATCCATATCTAGTGTGGCCTTAAGTGTAAATGACGAAAGTCCTGACATTATCATACCACCTGTTGAACTCATTGATCAGGCACCGTTTCAAAAATTCTCCTTAGACATCTTCCTGAGAGAATTGGATTTTAGCCACCAGTTTCAAAATAGGAAAACAGCTTACTTTGGGGACTTCCCATATGTGTATAACGGGGGAAGTCACGAGGCGAAGGAGATACCACATCAGTCCTATCTGGCTGCTATCTGTTCATATCTTGATGTGTTACTCCCGGATTATGTTTACAACAGTGCTCTCGTAAACTACTACAGTACTGGGACAGAATGCATGCCTATCCATAGTGATAATGAAGAATGCATCGATGAAAACTCTTACATTGTTACAGTTTCTCTGGGTGCCTCTAGGACGATGCAACTCACAGAAATTCAAACAGGAAAAGTGGTGTCTGCCCTAGATCTAAAGCATGGGGATGTTTGTATCATGTCTAAAAAATCCCAGCTTCATTACAGACATGAAATCTGTACTCAACCATCTTGTACAAACAAAAGGATCAGTATCACATTCAGACTGATCAAACCTGTAGCTGTTGTCCAAAGATTAACAAGTACACCAACCAACATGTGCAATGACAATTACCATGACCCATATGAAAACATCTCCAACTCCAGCGGCTATGTACCTTATCAAGAAGACGAGTTTATAGTTCATCCATCAAGGAAAACGAATGGTGCTTATCAGCACCGACCTCTAACCCCACCCTATACATCTCCACCACCCCATCAATCAGGGCGGCATGTTAACAGACAACAATTGTTCGAAAAGGAGACACCCAACGATGTGAGCACAGTTTATATCAGCAGCAGCATGTTTAGGCATCTGAATGAAAAGCTGTTGAGCTCTTCATCTCAGAAGGCCAAAGTATTTTTCTACCCAGGGGCCAACTCAATCCAAATGTCCCAAAGACTCTTTAGCGACAGTCAGTTCAAAGTTCTCAACAAAGAAAAGGTTAAAAAGGTTGTTTTACTAACTGGTACTAACTGTGTTGATCCAATTGACCTCAACACAATGAACTTCAACAGTGCCACCAATGACATGGAAGAATTTGTTCAAAAATTGTGGGCAGAATTTAATAGTGCAAAAATATATATCTTAAATATTCTGCCTAGAGCTGTCACTAGTAAGAACATTATAGTGCAGGGACTTAATCGATACTTAGAGAATATGTGTTATAAGCATGGGCTAATATACATTAACACAGAACATGAAAATAATCTCTTTACTTTAAATTATAATAGAAAGGACAAGTATTTTGGCAGGGGCCATGACAATGTGCACCTCAATAAGTTAGGAATTGCCAGGCTTGGTAAGCATCTCAAATATGTAACTCACTTGTGTTAAACTTCATTAAAATTCTATAATCCAAGGGTATCAACATGAATAATAACAGGATTACTGTTTTATCTGGTTTAAAATGTTAGATCAGCACAAATTTCTAATAACTTAACGTTTTTATATCTCTCAAGCTATATTTATCACAAACAGAAGTGAGTTACTATTTTATGCTGTTAAATTTTATGATTTAAACTGCAGTATGATTGCTGATCCGAAATCCAATTTAAATCATATGTATGACATGATTTGAAACTTAGTCTACTTGAGGAGACTGCATGTGGATTTGTTCCCCATTAGCTTTGGTTTAACCTTATTCGTACCTCAATAAACGATAATCTCTCTCTTGGTCTATGTAATATACAGGGTGGCCTGACTAATCTGGCAAAAACTCTCGAACTACAGGAGCTAATATTTCGCGAAAAGCTTGACATAATTGGAATTAATGAGACAAACCTTAAATCTGATATAGACACTAGTACACTTAACTTACCCTTAAACTTTGATTTTATAAGGTGTGATAGACCTAACGATAGAGGAAGAGGAGGGTGTGGTATATTGATCAACCAAAATGTTAACCACAAATTACTCAATTTAGATATAACCTACTCTGATATTTCTAAAATCGAAGCTATATGGATACAACTCAAGGACGCCAATCTTTACATTTGCTGCTTCTACAGATCACAAAACTTTTGTCATCTAGATACTTTCCTTGATTATATGACTGAATGTATGATGAAATTTCAAGGTAAGAAAGTAATATGGATTGGCGATGTTAATGTTAACCAAAACTCTTTATCTGATCTAGATTATAAAAAGTTGGATATAACAATGAAGCTCTTTGGAATGATACAGACTGTTACAGGAATTACTAGATTTGCAAACTTAGATGGTAGAATAACGCAGAGCACAATAGATGTTGTAATGACTAACTGTTACTCTAATTTCATAGAGTGTAAAGTACTTGATGATAGAATAGGAGATCACCAAGCTCTCAAATGTGTTCTCGACTTTAAAGTAAATAAAGCTAGTAAATTCCAGAAGGTCCTTATCAGAGACCACTCCTTAAACAATCTAAAAGCCTTAAGCTATTTTCTGGGATCCTGCAGTAACTACAGTAATATTCTAAGCTGTACTAATGTAGACCATGCCCTAGATGGACTTAATCATCACATCCAGGAATCGTATGACAATTACTGTCCACCTAAACAGATAAAATGTAATAGTAACTTTCTTTGTAATCCCTCTAAAGAACTGTTGGCAGAAATACGGAAGAAGAAGATGCTTTTCAGAAAGTATAAAAAGTGTTTAGGACAATTAAACAAATTCAAGTGTAATTGTATTAATGGAATATGTAAATGCAGAAAAAGTGAACTACATCAGAAATGCTCTACTTCGTGGGATAACTATCGTCCCCAAAGAAACTATGTGACAAAATTATCCAAAGAAAACAGACGTACAAATATTGTTCAGGACCTTACTGTGAAAAGTGCAAAAAACGATTTGAAAGGTATTTGGAAAACTATCAAACATGCTTCAAACTTACCTGGAAAAATAAGTAGCTCTTCCCCAAGCAACTTAAATGTTAACGGAGTTAACCTGCATTTTGCCACAGTTGGTACAATAATACAAGAATCGATTAAGGAAAAGGATTCAGACGACTTCCTAGAATATATGCCGCCTCCAACAGAGTGTAAACTCTCTGTATTCGAAGAGGTGACTGTTGAACAAGTAAAAGAATATATACTCAGTATACCATCAGATAAATCGATTAACGATATCATGCCCATTAAAGTATATAAGTATATTATTCCCAAAATCATTGATCCAGTAGCTCATATTATAAACCTTAGTATGAAAAGTGGAACAATGCCGTTGGCATGTAAAATTGCATCAGTCACTCCAATTCTTAAAACTGGTGACCCTAATGATCCAAATAACTACCGGCCAATATCCATACTCCCCCTACTTGGAAAATGCATAGAATATTTTGTTAACCAACAGCTTACAGAGTATGTTGAAACCAATAAACTGCTTACCAACCATCAGTATGGATTTAGAAAAGATCATTCCACCACTTTTCTAATGCTTAATCTATTTGATAAAATATTTACGTCTAAGGAATCACAGAAGAAACCTGCAATTGTATTCTTAGATATTAAAAAGGCCTTTGACACAGTAAGCCATAATATTTTATTAAAAAAACTTAAGTACTATGGAGTTGATGGCTTTGTCATAAAGTGGTTCAAAAGCTACCTTGGGGACAGAAAGCAGCACACCAAAATACGTGGTAATGTAAGCACATCACTCCCTGTTAAAACAGGTGTGCCACAGGGTAGCATATTAGGACCAATTCTATTTAGTTTATTCATAAATGATCTCAGTAGAAATTGCACACAATCTACTGTTTACTTATTTGCAGATGACAGTGCACTATATTTTGATAACATATCCCGAGGCATATATGAGAATGTAATTAAGGATATGAAAATTGTGTATGAATGGCTTAGAATCAACAAGCTGAGTCTAAATGCTGCAAAATCTTCATTCATTGTATTTGATAGATCACCTAATCTGGACACGTTGTCAATCCCTCTGGATTTGGAAAAAGAATGCCTATTTATAGAAGAAACTAAATCTCAAAAATATTTAGGTCTCATGATAGACAATTTATTGAACTTTCAAGACCATATTGATTATGTGAAATCAAAAATTGCTAAAAGAATAGGGGCATTATACAGGTCGAAAAATCTTCTTCCACTGAAATATAGAAAAATGTTTGTAAATGCTCTTATGCTCCCCCAATTTGACTACCTGGATATAATATGGTGTAGGGCTGCCAAAACCAAACTTAATTCTCTTGATATATTATACAAGAAAGTAGCAAAAATTGCTCTGGATGTTCATTGGCAGGAACCATCAGTAAATGTATATCGAAATATGAAGTGGTTACCCTTACACTTAAGAAGACAACTCCATCTATCAACGTATATGTATAAAATTCTTAATGAGGCTGCACCATCATCATTCACAGATAAATTTTCT